CTTTTTCAATCATTTTGTGGTTGAAATAGGGGAAACATTGATAAAAACGAGCACATCATATGTATTATGAATAATGAAATCAGATTCTCAATATTTTTCTGAAAATGTGGTGTCCTCTTCCAAGAAAAAAAATCTGAAAAAACACAGGAATGCAGAATATATTCAAAGATAGCCATGTGATTATCAGGAGGGAAATTTCTCACTTATGTTACAATAGAATGAGTCTGAAATGTTAATTATATCATGATACTTGTGTATTTAGAATTATGAACACTGTGGTAAGACCAGATAGGCAGGTAACTTGGTAGGGAAGTGTTCTCTATGTACTGGAGATCTGTATTCTAGCTTGGGTACCACGTCCTACAAATTCCTCATCTGCAAATCAAAACCAATACATTCCTTTTATCATAGACTTGTTATGAGTATTAAATGAGTTGTTACTTACTGAGGTTCCTTACACAGTAAATGTTCGATTAGCATCAGCCATTGCTAGCATCATTATTATGTTGCTGACATTATTATTATTATTTATGTGGCATGCTCCTCTCTCCCTGAGGAGCCTTAATTTATTAATTTCTAAAACAAAAAAGTGCAGATCACACATCTGACAGGCCCCTAACCTTACTGAGATTCTATGATTCATGAAGATAAAGGGATTGTATGTAGTTCACAAATATTCACAATTAGTTGTTCACACTTAACTTGAGAACTTGAGCCTACCAAGACTGGATAGTGGTGAGACTGTAGTGCAGTGATGCACAATTACCATACGTCAGGCCTTTTGCAATAATAAAGTGAATTTATTGGAAATACAATGGATTAGATAGAAACAATTGCATTTTTACAGCACAGTAGTGACATGGTTAACAAAGAAACAAAAAAACACTTCACTGGGAATCAGAATGCCTGGGTTTTCTTCTGGTCCCCTTCTCATAAATAACACAAGCAAAGCTTCCTGGGACTTAGTTCCCTCTGTTTATGGGATTGATTATATGTTGTCAAAGACCTCTGCCCATTCTGTAAGGTTATGTTTCAGTTCTAAAATTTCCTATAATGCACTCAAAGACTGTTTTGCAGGTATTAAAGTCTCCATATTACTTGGAACACTTTCTGTTTAACTTTTTTTATTCTTTGCTTCCTGTCTTAATATTACCCAGATAAGTTGCAAAGACACCACTGAATTTTAGAATTCCTTTCTGAAAAGATGTTTACTTAGTTTGAGAATTGTGTTAAAATTGATGTAAAGTTTTCAAAAAGTAGGCGATTTTATGCTTTGTTATGTTTTGTACAATTAGTGAACTTTTTTGTTGTTGTTGAGACGGAGTCTGGCTCTGTGGTCCAGGCTGGAGTGAGCGGCGCCATCTTGGCTCCTTGCAAGCTCCGCCCCCCAGGTTCCCGCCATTCTCCTGCCTCAGCCTCCCGAGGAGCTGGGACCACAGGCGCCGCCACCGCCCCCGGCTAGTTTTTTGTATTTTTTAGTAGAGACGGGGTTTCACCGTGTTAGCCAGGATGGTCTCCATCTCCTGACCTGCTGAGTGAACCATTTTTTTTTTTAAAGAAAAAAACCTTCTAGGATTCAAATATTCAATGAAGCGTATATTTTCTCTAATTTAATAGAATGAAAAAAAAATGTAATGCCGTTCAGTTAAATTATATGTACAAAACTGTATACATAAAATAAGACTACACAAATATGAAATAAATATTATATTTGTATAATATTAGGGGGAACTCTGGTTTAATACCTTTTTAGGTTATATCTACTTGGATACACTATGTATGCTACTTGCTCTTTTCAAATTAATATTAGACCTTTTTGACAATTCCAAATTAAAATTTTCATATGTTTCAAATCAAGAAACATTAAAAATGTATATACTTTGGTTAATAGAAATGTTAAAGGAGAAAAGGAGAGGCTTGTCAAAAGATCTGTATCTGGGATGTATATGGATGCTTTTGGTTTTTCTGCCAAAATGCTGTGATTCATTTGAATTTGATTTTTATTGTGATGACTTAAATATACACATGAATTTTGAAAACTGGATAATTTAACTAAAAGTTTCATATAGTTTTATAATGTGATACCATATTATTTTTCACCAAAAGGAAATCTTTGGGATAAATATAAGAAAGAAAACTTAGTTTTAGAAGAGAGAAGAAAAATGTTAAATTCATAACTTTATGCAGAATTGCCCATAGTCATAGGCAATACTAAAGTTTTATGCTTTACAGCTGCAAAAATAATTACATGAGCATTACTAAGCAACAATTTTTAATGGATTACATTTTGTTAGTTTTTCATTATATATTGTAAAAGGGCAAATAACATAATAAATGTTATAATAACTTGATTTATCTGACTTAGACCTTTGATATTTCTTCAAGACATTTTATCATTCATTGGTTTATTTGAGAAATGATTCAGTATGTAAATAAGATATAGCATTACCAAACTGGTTTTAAGTTTGCTACGTAGAAAAATTGTGCATATTGTTTACTTTTATTTGAAAAGTATTTTACTTTTGGGTGTTTCAAAGGTGTTAACCTTTTCAGAGGTGTTATCATTGATTAATAATGTGATCCAGCAAAGGCACATACTGCCTGTCAAGGTCAATCCATTTGCTTTTTCTACAAGCCTTACATTTTATTTGTGTTACATTCTTAACACCTACTAATAATATAAGCTTATAAATAGTGAAAGTCTTTATACTCTGTTCTTTTATTATGTGGTAACAGTAGCTGGAGTTTTCAGTTTAACAATGTTTACCTTTGTGTCTATATATTTTATTAATAGTGAATAGTATTGAAGTTAGAATTTAAAGAGTTTGGTGCAATCAGATTTAGTTTGGTTTTCCTTTTACTGTTCTTTCCAAAGATAAGAAAAAAAAAAAGTCTTCTCTTTGAAGCAGTAGTTTCCAAATATTAACATAGTCATGCTATGCCCAAGTTGTCTTAATATTCAGATTTTTAAAATGGGGATTTTTTTTCATGGATTTGATAATTTACTCAAATGTATGCATCTACTTGGTTGGAATTGAGGAAGGACAAATTTTAAAAAGCAAGAGAAAAACATAGGTTTTTGTAAGCCCCTAAACTTGTCTGAGGTTTTGAAACCAAAGTTTAAGAGTGATTTTTTGAAAGAACGGTTAGATCTTAAGTTTTTTACATGGTAGTACTTCATCCATGAAAGCACTTTTAAATGCCAGTGGAATGGAAAGACATCCATTCCAGTACAAAATTATAGTAACAAATATTAAATTCAAATATTCATTTAAAAATTCAATAGGATTTATTTATTTATTTGAGACCGTTTCGCTCTTGTTGCTCAGGCTGTAGTGCAATGGCACGATCTCAGCTCACCGCAACCACCATCTCCTGGGTTCTAGCGATTCTCCTGCCTCAGCCTCCTGAGTAGCTGGGATTACAGGTGTGCACCACCACACCCGGCTAATTTTATATTTTTAGTAGACACTGGGTTTTTCCATGTTGGTCAGGCTGGTCTCAAACTCCCGACCTTAGGTAATCCTCTTGCCTCGGCCTCCCAAAGTTCTGGGATTAGAGGTGTAAGTCACCACACCCAGCCCAATTCAATAGGTTTTAAAAGATAAATAACATTTATCAATCCAAATCTATGCACTTAACATACTAATACACATTTTCAGTGCCATGTTAAATTAGGTTACCAAAATGGTTGACATTCTATTACACATCAGATCCAGGAAAGCAGGGTGGAGGAACTATAACTATTTATTGGACTTTGTAACTGAAGTATATGTATCTTCATCCCTCTTTTGTGAGAAGGGAAGCAAAAGTCTTAAATAGTATGTTCAAGATTGCATGTCTTGAACATCCTATTTAGAGTTGTATTTAAGACTAACATGCCAAATAATTCATGATTTCTTGATGTTATCAAGACACTGGGACAATTGTACTGTATGAACTATTATATAAAGATCTCAATATAAAGATTGCATGTCTTGAACATACTATTTAGAGTTGTATTTAAGACTAACATGCCAAATAATTCATGATTTCTTGATGTTATCAAGACACTGGGACAATTGTACTGTATGAACTATTTTTGGAATATGTATTTGGTTTCCTTTCCACATTAATTCTAACAGTTACAAAATACTGCTTGTTTTACAGTATGTTAATATTATATTAGTAGCCAGTTGAGATTATGATAGTGAATTGTACAATTTACAGTAGTGAATTTATAATACTGCATTATTTCTTCCGCCACAATATGGGACTAATGTTAGTAGTACAAGTAGAATTAATAGTATTTCTCATTGTGAATAGGTTAAGGATTAAATGAGATAATATACACACAAAAAACAACAAAAACATAGAATATAAAAGTAATGCTGTTGGTAGCACTGCTGTTATCCATATTGGTGCCTTCTAACATTCTCAGTAATCATGGAAAAACATAATGAGTTTCAATGTCTTGGCTTTGTAGATATGTCTAAAGTTTTTATAATGAACATATTTAAATTACAATGATTATATAACCTTATACATTAATTTTATATATGTATAAAATATCACTCAATTAAATTCATGCTTGGAAGTACCTTAATTTTTTTCTTTTAATATTTAGCTTTGCATGTATATGTAATTCATTTAATTATAGAAAGCATTATCCTGTGGTGTCACATAGATAAAAGGAGGATTCAGTTGTATTCGTTAGCACATGGCTGAGAAAAATGTAGGCAGCAGGCAGAAAAGAAATGCAAGTTAAAGATGAGCCGAATGCTAACTGTGAGCACACTAAACAGCGGAGAACATCAGATTATCCCTCCTATGTATGTTTAAGGTCAAATATCTTTATTAAATTGCAGATATCTGTAAGTAGATACAGATTCTTAAAGCTGTATTGCAAGAGCTATTAGTGGGAGTTTATTATAATTATAATAAATATCTCCTGCAGAAGTTCAGAGATTAGGACTGTATATATCACTTTTGAGTATAATGATTTAATCTTGTTCCTACAGTACTTCGGGATGACTTCAGACAAAACCCTTCGGATGTCATGGTTGCAGTAGGAGAGCCCGCAGTAATGGAATGCCAGCCTCCACGAGGCCATCCTGAGCCCACCATTTCGTGGAAGAAAGATGGCTCTCCACTCGATGATAAAGATGAAAGAATAACTGTGAGTATTGAATTCAACAGCAGAGGGCATTTGTAGGTCTAACTGTGTGTGTCTTTACCAAAGAAAAGAGAGAAAAATGAAGTAGATTATTTTAAATAAAGGCCTGTATCAGCTCCCATATTCAGTTTTTCTTTTAAAAAAAACATATTTCAATTCTTTTTGTGTTGACATGAAAATAAGTGAGGAAAATTCATGGTGTTTAGAGATCAGTAAAAGAAAAACTATAATTCCTGTTTTAATGTCTCAGAGTTAACACTTTTATGTATGACTTAATTATTATCATAACTCAGGGCTTATAAAATTTCCATGTGTTATCGTAAAAATTATTTATTAAAGAAGATCTGTTTTTAGTATGTTTCCAGAAGGCCTTTTAAACCACTTCAAGATGTTTTTATGTTTTTTTCTCATTTTTGTAACTGTTTTTCTGTTCTATAGAGTTCAATATTGTTTCTGAAAAATAAAATCTTATTTTGAAAGGTGGTTAATGAAGAATTTATCTCAATATAAAATGAAGTCATATGATGAGATTATTGGATTTCAAATGCCTGCTCTGATGTAAGAAATTATATGTGATTTGTATGACGTCAAGATGCATTTTCTTCTTGACAGCAGTGATTCTTTATGACTTCCTTGCTTGTTTTGTCTTGGAAGGTGTTGACTAAAGCCCCTCAGTCACCAAGCTCTCATTGATTTTGTGGTTGCTCAATATTTCCCTTTACAGTTCTCTTTGTTCAGCATGCACTGATACCTGTCCATTGTGAATTCACTGGTCAAGATTTAAAGTTCCCTAGAAGAATGTATGTGTGAGGAAAAGGTCACTGCTGAAGATGTACAAGAGCAAAGTTATAATGCAGACCACACAAACCTAGTTAGTAGTTGCACTATTTCTGAGCAACTGGTCAGTAGATTAGCTTGGAAAAAATTAATAGTGAGAAAAGTAGAGAAAGTTGTGTGAGACAAAGTTTTAGGTACCTTGAAAGAAAATTAAGCATTTTTTTCATGTAAATCTGAATGAGAATGAGTCTCCCAAAGGATTTCTATAATTCTTGGGACTGCTGTGAGGATGACCTGGTTCTGCTTATCAGAGGTGCTGCAGAGTCACACGATAAAAGGAACTATATGTGGAAACATTGGTTTTTGGAAATGAAGTCAAGAAACACCATGCAAGAAATAGAGTGGAGAAACAAATTCTTCTCTTGTTAGCGATAACAGATTCCTTTTGGATTCATGTACAATGAAGATAAGAATACTTTGCCCTTAAAAATATATTCTAGATCATTTAATGACCATTATCTATAATTCCCCTTTCCCTTCCTTACTGATTCAAACACATTAAAACCATTATTATCCCTGACTTTCCCTCATGCCTTTCCTGATAACCTATTCGTATTTAATACAAGTTAATGACAAAATTCTTTTTTTACTTATTTTATTTATTTTTTTTGAGACGGAGTCTTGCTCTGTCACCAGGCTGGAGTGCAGTGGCACAGTCTCACCTCACTGCACGCTCTGCCTCCTGGGTTCAAGCGATTATCCTGCCTTAACCTCTTGAGTAGCTGGGATTACAGGCGTGCACCACCACACCCAGCTAATTTTTGTGTTTTTAATAGAGATGAGGTTTCACCATGTTGACCAGGATGGTCTCAACCTCCTGACCTCGTGATATGCCTGTCTTGACCTCCCAAACTGCTGGGATTACAGGCATGAGCCACCACACCTGGCTGACAAAATTCTTAGCCCTGGAAATGCAACTTGATCAAAACTCAGTGAGTATTCTACTGAAGCTTACATTTTATGAGTGTGTATACAGAGAAAACCAAATAAATAAGTATAATACACAGTAAGTTAAACTATAATAAATCCTACAAAAATAGAGAAAGTGTATACAGACAAAAACCAAAATAAATAAGTATAACATACAGTAAGTTATACTATAATAAATCCTATAAAAATGGAGAAAGGGTATACAGACAAAAACCAAAATAAATAGGTATAACATACAGTAAGTTAAACTATAGTGAGTCCTATTAAAAATTGTGAAGAGGTAGATGAATTCATTAGGGTTCAGGTGGGATTGAAATTTTAAAGAGGCTGATTAGAGAGAATGCCTCACATAAAAAACCTCAAAAAATTGATGGAATGAACTATACAAGTGTCTGGAAAAAGGGTATTCTAGGCAGACAAAATAGTAAATACGAAAACCCTGAGGTGGGGTATACCTAACGCATTCACTGAAGAGTAAAAAGTCAGTGTTGGTTGAACAGAATGAGTAAAGATTTACAGGAGATACTATCAGGGAGACAGCCTTTTTAAAAAGGCTGTGAATTTAATAATTGTCCAACTGTGTAGGCTCTTACAGGTGTTATAGATAGTTTGGCTTTTCTTCTAAGTAAGCTGGGAAGCCTCTGCTCTCCTGAGAACACACTGAAACGTGGCAATGGTAGAGACAGGGAGACTCATTGAGAGCTCTCAGGGTAATCCGGGTGAGAGACAAATGGTGGTTTGAACCAGGCTGTTAGGATGGGGAGGTAGTGAGGAGTGGCTAGATTCTGGATACATTACAAAGCAGTAGCCAACAGAATTTGCTAACAGACTGGATGTGTTTGTGAGCGAAAGAGAAAAGTCAAGGACCTCCTGATTAATTGGCCTGCACAACTGAAATGGTGTAGATGCCATTAACGGAGATGCCATAGATTGTAGGAGAAAATTTGGGGTGGGAAGTTATCAGGAGCTCAGTTTTCGACATGGTAATTTTGAAATGCTTCTTGGATATCCCACTATAATTGTCTAATAGGCAGTTGGATACATGAGTCAGGAATTCAGAATTGAGGTTGAGGTTGGAGAAAAAATTAAATTGTGGTAGACATACAAGTACTCATTACTATACAGTTCTCATATCCTTCTGGGCAGATGAAACTCTCTACTTCCCAGCTTTTTTGCTGTCCGGCAGACCTGTTGGACTTTCTCAGCTTCATGGGTTGTGAGTGAACGTTAAAGAAATTAAATACTAGTGATTTAAATACTCCAGTACTCTCTTTACCACTCTACAGCCAAGCAAGCTACTTGTTTTATTAGGTAGTGCAACTGCAACATGGAAGACACCCTGAGAGCCTGAGCCCTGAGTTATGTGTAGAACGTTCTACCCCACACCTCTGTCTTCTCAAGATGGACATGGAAAATGAATGAGAAATAAATCTTTTGTTGATTAAGTCACTGAGGATTTTTTAGCACATACAGCATAGCCTTTCCTAATGAATATGGGAGTCATCAGTGCATACATGTTATTTAAAAACAGGAGACTGCAATCACCAAGGGAATGGTTGCAGATAGAAAGGAAAAGCAGTCCAATGCTTAGTTCTCACAGAGAAGAGGCAGAAAGAGCAGTGGGAACTGAGAGGGAGCAGTCACTGGGAAAGGAGGAAAATTAGAAGGGCCGCCGAGTAAAGACGGTTTGAAGGAGGTGTCGGTGACTACCAGTTACAGCTGGTAGATGGAGTAATAATGGGGATTAAGAATTCACCACTGGATTTAACAACTCGGTGAGCAATCATGAATGACCTTGACAAGAGCCATTTCAGGGGAGTGCTGGGGGTTAAAACCTCATTGAACGTTTCAAGACAGACTGGAAAGATCGAAACTAGACACAGAGCATAGATGACTCTTTTTAATGTCGTGTTCCATACTCTAGATAAAAAATAATGGTGGTTGTCGTCTTGCATTTTGAAAGATCTCAGTTAATTTTAAAGGTTGTATTTTGTGGGTATGCTTGTGTATGTGTTAATTTTTTTGTGACATTCACAGTTTAAAATCACTATAATAAATTTGATTTTTAAAAATTCTTGGAACTCCCTGATGTATCATATAGTGAACTAGATGACATTTTATTGTTTATGCCAAAATGTTTAATTTATTTTAGAATCTTCATTTACTTTTGCTGTCTAAGGGGTTGCTGTCCTCTAATTAAAGAGCACCAGTTCCCCCACGCCATCAGTAGCTTCTAGTTAATGTAAGAACCACCTACAATAAGGAATCAAACAGTTTAAAGTTGTAAAAACCTATGACTATGAAATGATGCCAAGATGTTAATATATAAATAACTTTTAAATCATTTACATGCTGCCAAAATGATGATCCATGGTGGTGTTCCATATGCTAGGAAGTTGTAACATCTGAAACTTTTACTATTTCTAAGACCATCTGTGTGTTTTGTATAAATTATGACTGTGGAACTGATAAAACACTGGAGGTAAAAAGCACATTTATACATTTGGGAAAAGGAATACATTAAAAATCAGCAGTTTGGGTTCAAAATCACTGATCTTATGTAAATCGTAATTGTTTTTGTTTTATTTTCTTCCTTTAGGCAAAACTGAAATTGAATAATTAAAACAAAAACTTAGAACATAAACAGAATACGTGACATTATTTCTAGTTCTTTTTTTCAATAGTGAAAATAAATTCTTAAAAGATGTTGGCTATTAGCCATTGTACGTGATTCTTCTTTCCTAAGCCTTGTATTCAAATGAGTGTATTCATCTCTATTGTTAATGTACTTTGCCAAATGTGCTGAGTGCAGATGAACAGAAGATTAAAGCACATAATATCATTATGAAAGACAATTGAAGATTGCATGCTTATTGCTACAGTTTTGGTTATAGGAATTTCTAGAGTTCTTTAATGTGGTGGCTTTCTTTGTTGAAGATTTAAAGTACACCTCTCCCAGCTGTGAGAACAAAGACACACCCTACAAAAAAGGGAAATATGTAGTTGAATTATAGCTGCACCTGTGTTTTTTTTTAAGTTCTTAGTTCATTTCTTCTTACAATGACCTGGATTCAGAGCCAAATTTTAGATCCAGATGATTATAAACCATGAATATATAAATAACATTTTCTTATTGTCTTACATGATAGGAGAATTTCTTAGAACTTTTTTGGCCCATGTTTCTTAGAATCATTTGAAAGAGGCCTTAAATGATGTTTGTCTCTAGTGTTCTTTGT